AACATATAAACTCTTTTAAGAAAGACATAAAAGTAAAAAATAAAAGCCCCTGGTGACTCTCTTTCCACCCTTCCTCATCTCTACAGCCAATAGTAATTAATAATCAGTACAAATACCAGATTGTTACCCAACACCTTAGCCCCTGCTCTTAATTGCTCCACAACCCACTTTACCACAAGGTGATGGTAGAACGGACAAGGGATGAGATCATTCGAGGTAACTAGTACCTCAGTGCCAGTTGTGCTTACATGCTACACATAGATTTAGGGTTCTGGCCACTTTCTACACCTTCTCAGAGTGGTGGATTCCAAGGATTTCTGTGGACCAATTTTTCACTGTTGTGGAAGGGAGGAGAAAAACAATGCAAAGGGCAGAATAGAACAGAAAAGGAGGTGAAGGGTGAGTGGTGAGTGCAAAGATAAGCACACGGGCCTCCCTTTGGTGGGTGAACAGGGGTGCCCAGGGGAAGGGGAGCAGCCAGGTGCTCAGTTCCAACAGGAGCCACTCCGCACCTCCCGCAGCATTTCCTAGAAGTCAGCAGTGAGAAGTCAGTCATGAATTCCCCCATTTGCTGCCTTTCCAAGCAGCACTAAAATTACTTTCTCGGTTATTGTTTTATTTTTTCAAAAGTACTAGCCAAAGTATTTCCCTTTACCTATTAAAATAGGATGTTTTCCACTTAGTTTTTTTTTTTTATAGAGATGTCTTTCTTATTTTTTTTAAAAAATGTATGAAGCATTTATTACGGAGGTGGGGGTGTATGGGGACTGTCCCTGTAAAAAAAAAAAAGTCTGCTTTGTAAGTTGTAATTGCCATTGTCTCACTGTCCCTTGAAGAAGCCGTCTAAAGTGAAGTTGTACCTTGAAGCTCAGCAAAAAATATGCACAAAATCACCTCACCATCCACCACCAAGAGAAACACCTAAATGTTTCAAGATTACAGTGCCGAAAGCATTTCTTTTAAAATATTCATCTTAGGAAGGGCTTGTGAAAGGGGATTTTTGTTCTCTTTGATTGAGTCAGTATCACTAATAATAAGGCTTTGGTCCCTCAAAAAGCCCCCTGAGGAGTATTTTCTCAATTTACTCATTTTATTTGTTATTTAGTACTTTTAACATTATATTTCTTAGAGTCCCCCCTCCACTTTTCTCTCACAGCAGTGTAGTAATATTGAGATAAACATAAGAACAGGCTTACTTCTCTTTTTCTCTTAACCCCTCTGTTCCCCAGTCCCAGCTCCTATTTCTTCAGCCCAAATTCCTAAAGAAAAATGATGAAGAGAAGAAAAAAAAGTAGGAAAGGTTTGAGGATATACCTTTCTAACACTCAGAGCACAGGATAGTCATGGTAGGACAAGAAAAGACTGGTTCAAAGGGATTGAGTAAAAAAGGTGAAGGAGTTAAGAAGTATGACTTGGTAGTTACAAAGTAGTCATGGGGATGTAAAGTACAGCATAGGAAACATAGTCAATAATATTGCTACACCTATTTATGGTGCCAGGTGGGTACTGGAAACGGAGGGGGGAAGACTTTGTAAAGTATATGTTTGTCTAGCCACTATCCGGTACACCTGAAAATAATACAAAATAATATTGAACGTTGACTGTAATTTAAAAGAAAAAGAAAATGAAAAGAAAACAGACAGGTTCAAGACAAGTTTCCTTTGATATTAGTTCAGGTGTCCTTAATCCTTATCTGTATATTTGTCCCATCATTCCCCTTTACCACTGTTATTACCTTGATCTTTTATGCCATGTCTAATTTTCCTATATTGATTTTTTTTAAACCAAGGAGAAATTTTCACTTAATTTCCTTTGAAAATATGAAGAGCAATCCCTGCCGAGAAGTTTGTGCAATACTCTTCATGGGGACTTACTAGAAATGGGTTTCTTTCTTTCTTTCTTCTTCTTCTTTTTTTTTAAATAACATAGTTCTTGGCATTGTACTTTTTACAGAAACCATGAAGCAAACAATTCCTGAGAAAGTTTTTTCTTCTCTATAAATTATAGGATTATAAAGTGGCAATAACAATGAGCTTGCAGGGTATGTATAACACAGGACCCGTGAGTCAGTGAGTAGTACCGCCTTAATGCGCCTGTGTGGGGAGGGGAGGAATGGAGTAGGGGCAGAAAATCAGAGTGTACTCCTGAAGTGTGCTGAGAGAATACAATTAGAGAAACACATATTTTAAATATTTTCCTTTTACTTATGAGAATTTGCCTTAATATTTCCTTGTTTTTTTTCAAATGCTTGTTATTACCTGTATTCACCACAGATATATCCTGTCTTTTCTTTTTCTGTTTCTGCTCTTGTGGCACACTTTTCTCATACAGGTGTAATCCAGGCATCTCAAAACTGGACTCAGTGTTAGACTGGATTCCTGGACTGTTCCCACCTATTTAAAACATCCCCTTGTGCCAAAACGTGCACTCCACCCTTTCCCTCCAATGGTCAGCATTTAGGGTGCTGCTCACTGTCTATTAGAACAATATTGTTATCACATTTTTTCCTGACAACAATCTTCGCATGTAGGCATTGTTATGACCCCATTTTGAGATGAGAAATCTGAGGCTTAGAGGGGTTGCATATGGTCACTAGTCTGTGGAGGAACAGAGCTTGGATTTCAAGTGGGGTTCTATTGACATTCAGGTTCACCTTAAAGCACTAGTGTGCTGTCTCCTCCTTGAAAAGGACCGCTTCTGCTGGAAGCTTTGGAAAAGACCTCGACTCAGAGCTTGCCCCCAGCAGACACCCCAACCGCCAAGAGGTCGGCCACCCAGAACAGAACTTAGGGCCAGCTAAGGTGTCTTTGACTAAACCAAAGTTTCCTGTCACTAGGTACTCTGGAGTTTTTGTTTTTTGCTTTGTTTTGCTTTGTTTTTCTTTCTTTCTTTCTTTTTTTCACCAGAGAGTACATGATGCCACAGAAACCAATTAATGTAAACCCAGAGCCCAGCTTTAGAGGATGAGAACTGGATTAGGAGGGATGGAATCCTCTGGATATAAACAGAAGCCCAAGGAAATGGTGTGAGAAAAGCAGTTTCCCAGAGTTTTGGGTTGTTTTGGTTCAAAATAGGAAATCACTCATGCTCCCCACCTCTCTCTCACCTCTTACACTGCAGCTGTATGTACTCCCCTTGGTCAAGAAAACTGACTTCCAATTTGATAAAATAAAGGATACCCCCCAAACTGGGCAATTATTTAGGTAGTTTCATCCTTCATACTTTTCTAAATGCTCTACAAAGAGAATGTTGCTTTTTAAAAAATCAGCATTTAAGAAATGTGTATGATGGGTTTCCCAAGCTGTTACCTCCTGCAAAAATTGCAGTGAAAGTGGAAGAAGGTAACAAGGAAAATGAGATGGTGTACATTAAAAACACCATATAAACATTATTTGAAAAAAAATTCTACTGAAATACAAACTGGTGCCTTGTATTATAGTTTTAATTTGCCATCTTACTAAGACACCCCCTCCCTGTTCCCTGCCCCCCACAACACACTCTGGTGGGTGAACTGTAGGGGGTTCTTGAACTACTTGCAGTTGTAAGCATTGGAGTGTGTTTCAGGATGATCAAAGCGTTGCGTGTGTGTGAGAGAGAGAGATGGGCACCTATATGATTTTGAAGAACATATACCTTTCAGCATAGCCCCCAGACAACTCTTAGGGCCTCATAAGCCTGCAATCTTGCCTTCCAGTGACCCTGGCCTCAAGTAGAAACAATCAGAAATTAATGAGAGTTACATTTGGAAATGCAGTGAACCAAACGTTATCACCTCCACTCTGCAGACAGTGACCCAATCTCTGTCCAGAGCTAGCAGGGCACCTTTAAGTTAACTTTCAGGCCAGACTCAGCAAAGGGCAACAAAGACCACATTCTGACGCGCCCAGGGCACTCACTTTTCACAATGCGGTTTATTATTCATAAAAAAATAACTTTATTTACATTTGCTAATTAACTGTGGTAGTGCAGCCTCCAGCAGCGGTTTGTTCCCCCTGAGCAGGGTCACTAGGTACCGAACAGGCTCAGCGGTCCAGAGCGAGGAAGAACGTGGGCGAGGGAGACAGTGTTGCAGGAAGGGCGACCCGTGCTGGCAGTGCGGGGGTGGGGGTTAGGGGCAGGCGGGGACAGTCAGGAGTCGCAGGGGACTCTGCAAAGAAGTGTGGGAGGAGGGAGTAGAGGAAGGAGACCCGAGCCTGGGAACGTGGGGCGGAGGGTGTCTCACCCCTAGGAGGAGATAGGGTAGACCGAAGCCGGGTTAGGAAGGGGCGGGAACCTGCAGCTGTGAGGAGCCTGCCCGTCGCAGAGAGGCGGAATGACAGTGAGCGCTTAGGGTAAACCCGGCTCAGGTGGTCTCAGGCTGAGCGTCACCAGGCTTCCGGTACAGCCAGGGCGCCCCCTCCTCTGTCCTCCTGGAGGGCGCTGGACCGTGGGAGACCCACCCCATCCGGGTATCCTCTGTCCTCTCTTTGCAATTTAAAAATCTGCTCGATGTGAGTTCTCACGTGAAGACTTGAGCCTTTGAAGCCGATTGTCACGGAGAGAGCGTCCTGACCGTGCCTAACCGTAAAGGCCCGCGCTATGCAGAGCCGTGCCATCTCGTGGACTGCACTTATCTCTGGTTCAGCGGGGAAACTAACCCAAGGCGGTTAGCGCCAGGCTCTGAAGGCAGCGTGGGGTTAGTCTGCATTGCTAAAGCCTGAGGTTGGATCGGTCCGCGCTCCCCAGACCCGAGGCTCTTTCTGGAGAGATGGAGTGTAATCGCGCAAAAATCCGCGGCAGCCGGGGGCCCTGGGCGCCCGGCGTGATAGCCACGCCCGCCGCCCCTCGGGCTCTGCCCCTCTCCCCTCACACCCGCCACCTGTTGTGTTCGAAATTCGGGGTGGAGGGGGTGTCTGGGAGCACCCAATGGAACTTTCTTTGCATTCTCTGGGGGTTCTCACGCAGTTTCTCCTCTCCGTGGCCCCCAAACACAAGGGCTTAACCAGTAATCCGAGTGAGTGAGTTCAAGTCAAGTTCGATCTAAGCGGTGGTCCCACAGAGTCTGCTGGCAGCGGAAACTTCTTTGGTGTCAGAGTCGGGTCGTCCTGAGACAACAAATGGCCACGTCTGTAAAATCAAAAAGAGCGCCTGATATAAGACGAGACACGACTACGTCAAACCGAAACCGTTCGACTAAGTGGACACTGTGATAGTCCCGAATTTGAGTAGCGGCTTTATCAGCGTTCTGGAAGTTTGCCTTTCCTCTCTCTAAACTAGGAGTTAAATTTTACTGGATTTTGATTGCGTGAGACTTGAAGGGGGGCCATCCATGCTTCCTCCTGGACCGTGCCTTTACCATCATTCGGTGAAACTTGAAGAGGTTGGAGATTTTGTAGCGCAATTAATTCCCTCCCCCACCACACACACACACACACACACACACAACCCCCACCACCCCCAGCCCTCCGCTCTCGAGCCGGAAGAGTTGGCAGGTCAGAGAGGGACTTTCCAGACTGATTCCTTTTGGGGAAACCTCTGCTATTCTGCAAGAATTTAAAAATCCAAACCCTCTTAAATAGAGCTCGCCCTTCCCTCCCTTTCAGAAAGTAGGGTTTGTTCAATAAAATATTAAAGACTGTTCAGCCGGAACAGGTTGCTCGAGGGGGATTTGCCATTTATTCTGCAATGGAACCCAGATTCACCCCGTAAGTAGGATATTAGCCAATAGCTGTCACTGGACATAGGTCCACGTACAATGATCATAATGATGCATACAGAGGGTGGATAGTTCTTCTTCTGAAACATGGCTGGGCCCTCCCGTGATTTGGGGGAAACTAAACTGGCGTCCTCACCACCCGAACCAGAACCCCTCTTTCGGGTTCTTCCCAGCGGGCTGACTCTGCCCGGCTTCCAGGAGCGCCCTGGACCTCTCCCGGCCGCGCACCCCGGGCCTGGAGCGCGGCGCCCCTACCAGGTTCACGGGGTGCACGTAGCCGTTCTCGTAGCGATCCTCTTGCAGAAGCTGCCGCAGGTGCGCGATGTAGCTGGAAGCCAGTCGGAGCGTGTCCAGTTTAGAAAGCTTGGTGTCGGGAGGCACCCAGGGCAGGCTGGTCTTGAGCCTTGAGAAGGCTTTGCTCAGCACGCGCATTCGGGCGCGCTCTCGGGCGTTGGCCGCGTTCCTCTGCGACTGCTTGCACTCGGCCGCAGAGCCCTTGGGCGGGAGGGGCTTCTTGCCGCTGCCGCCCCCAGCTACACGAGGCCGTTTTCTCTTACAGCCTCCCGCGCCGCCCGCCTCGCCCAGAGCGCACTGCTCCTCCTCGCCGTCGGGGTCTTCCTCCTCCGCCGAGGAGTTGTCACTGGGCGAGATGTAGCTGCGCTCTGCGCCGCGGAGGGGCGGCCTCTTGGAGGCGGGGACCTGGTACCCCCGCTGCAGCCCCCGCAACTCCAGGTCCTCCGGGTCGCTCACCGAGCCGGTGGACATCGCTGCGTCCCACACGCCCGCGCCCGCGCTCCTTCCTCCCCCAGGCCAGCCTCGCGGCCTCCGCCTTCCTCTCCTTAGCGGAGGCGGGGGCCGAACCGAGATCCGAGGAGGACTAGAGACCAGGGTTCCGCAGCGCAGAGTCGCAGGAGTGAGCCCTGCTGCTAACTCCGAAGAGCCCGAGCCCAGAAGTCGGAGCTGGGCCCAGGCTCGGCCCGCACAACCGCAAGCTGCGCTTTTTGACAGGACTATTTATCTGTACAGCTCGGAACAAACCACCCCGGGCAAAAAAGAGAGAGAGAAAGGGAGAGAGCGCGTTGGAAAGGAGGGGGGTAGAGGGGAGAAGAGGTGGGGCGGGGGCGTGGAAGGGGTGGGGACCGCTTTTTGCGCGCAGGGGATCTGCTAGTGGGGGCGGGGAAGGGGAAGTCTCTGCATAGCCGAAATTTGGGCCCGGGCCCGAGGGACCCTTACATGGTCAGTGTGAGATAAGTGTGTTCTGGGCGAGGGAAGAATGGGACTTGGATCCCACTCCCACTCCCACCCCAACAGATCTTAGCGATGGCGATGGTGAAGATTGCCACACACTTAGAAAACCACAGGATCGCGACCTCTGCTTCGCTCCGTCTTTTTCAGCAGAGCTCTGTTTTCCAAGTTCGTCACTCATATCGTATCATTGCCTATCCAAGCCTTGCCGGACAAGTGTAAAAGCAAAACAAACGACACCGAATAATCCGCAAGTTACCTCTCATTTTCCTCCTCCTTTTTCTTTGACCTCTCTTTATGATCTACAAAGCACTTTTATCTCCACTGGTTCGTTTCATTTTCAAACATCTGTGATTTAAACGTTCCTATCTCCACTTTGCAAAGATTGAAGCTAAATCGCAGATACATATATTAAGGGACCCCAAATCATCAGGCTGGTAAGTAGAAATAGCCTCAACATCAGTGGTTAGACCCCTGGACTCTCCGCATTCCAGCTGCCTCCTTGCCATACACCACAGGATATTGTATCTGCGAGAGTGGCATGTGTGATTTTGTTGTTAACAACACAGTGCATGGTACAGATTTGAGTTATAGCCTAGGGAATCGATTACTATGTTAGATTGTGTATTGAGGAGCGCACTTCTGGATGCAGAATGCCAAGTCAGCACCATCGTCCAAAGTGTAAAAAAAAAAAAAAAAAAAAAAAAACAGAACCCAGAAATGTCGTGTCCCAGGCCAACCAAAAATTAAACACCCTGCCCCTTCCCCCAAAAGAAACAAAACAAAAAACTGCGTGCGGTCTAATGATTTCCTAACTGGAAAGGCCTTTGCAGTACGTGGTCTGAGGGTGTAGACTTCATTTTGGCGGTGGAGATCAATGGAGAGCTACTGGGAGCCTGCATTGTCCCAATCACTGGGTTCGGCGACATGTGATTGCCCCCTAAATAATTTAAAAACAAAACAAGACAAAACCTAAGATAACAACAAAATAATTAAATCTCTATCCAGTTGGGATTCAGTTACTCCTTGAGCCTTCACACAGGACTTGGGTCATTACTTGTCCTTCCCCTAAAACCCTCAGGCTCCCAAGCTGGGCGAGGTGCAAGGCGACCGGCGGGCATGCAGTTAGCCCAGGGCAGAGAGGGCGGAAAGCCACGGGGCAAGCCGCACTCCGCCGGCTCCTCCAGCAGAACAAATGCGCCCGGCTCCGCGCCTGAAGTGCCACAACAGGTGGCTGGCCGGGGCTGACTTCATCACTCAGGCATCGTTCTACCTTCGTCTCCCAGGCCATGCCTTTCTCTTGGGGGATGTTTCACACAATCCGTCCTGCTTCTCCGCCCTGGCTTTACAAAGGTTTTTCTCCCGGTGTATTAGTCATTTTGGTAGGGGGGTGGGGGAGGGGCTCCTTCTGCCATCAGTTGAGTAAAAAGGACGCTGTCTCCAGTTTTTTCTGGGCTGGGAAAACACAGGGTGTATTTGACAATGCGTAGCAATCGTTCCTGGAGCGCTTGAACTTGAACTTGACTCTAGGTGCGTGAAGGAGGGAAGCAGAAAGAAAGGGAAGCAAAATGATGTAAAGGAGAGGTCTCCGGCCAGAGTTTTGCATCAAATCTATCGATGACTTGAGGCTATCAGTCTAAATACATAGTCTCACACATTAGGAGCAGGCATATAGGTTTTAAAAATCTGGATTGTTTATACAGGTGCAGAACAAAGTCTTTCTTCAGAAAGATTAATGGCGGGGAGAGCGCTAGATTTTCTCTAAACAGTCGCAAAAACTGCACCCAGCCTCAAAGCTAAGCAGGTCATGGCCAGTTTCTTCTTCTTTAAAGAACCGCCTGATCCCAACAATTGTGCTTATATTTTTCATAGTCCTTTCCTTTCCTTTCCTTTCCTTTTTCCTTCTTCCTTTTTTTCCTCTTCTGTCTTTTCCCTTTCCTTCCTGCCTCCCTCTCTTCCTCCCTCCTTCTTGTCCTTCCTTTCTCCCTCCTTCCCTCTGTTCTTTTTCAAGAAAGCTGGGTAATTTCTCTAGTTTTCTTTTATCTTTTGTTTTCCTTTTCCCACCACTTCTTTCTAGTTATATTTTACTTTCTTTTTTTTAAGTTGCAGACTGTTAATGAAGATTGGGATGTGTATCTTCATATACCTGTCATATTAGTATAGAAGTGCAGTTTGCTTTAATAAGTCTGTAATATTTGACATTTTCACCCTTTATACTTTCAAAACACTTATGTTTTTCCTTCTCAATGACTACAATAGCCTCATGTGCTGAACAGTGCCAGGATAATTTTCTCCTTTGAAAGCCCAGTTGTTGTAATTGTTTTGGCAAGCTATCACACATGGCAAATCAATAATACTTTATTTTTATATTTTAAAAAAGCACATTAAAAGCAATTCATATATGCCCATGCTTTATAGCCTTTCAGACTTCTAACAAGAATATATAGTTGTTTATGACATACATTGACGGTCTTGAAACTCTTTAAGATTTTTTTTTTAAACTATGCAATGGGTTAAGGTTAAAATTACATTATAAAACAAACATTAATATGTTTAATAATGTTTTCTAATCCTGGCTCTCCTGCTTATTGGCTGTATGACCTTTGACAACTTACATTATCTGAAGCCCAGATTCCTAATCTATAAAATAAATTATCTGTTTTGTTGTGAGGACCAGGAAGTATATGAGCAATGCCTGGGGCAGAGCCTGGTACACTGGAGAAGATCGATAAATGCTAATTACTTTTATTACTGTGAATTTCTTTGCTCAACATCACAGAGCTAAAGTGTCAGGACCTGGAGCTGACCCACACTTTTTACTCCGGGGCTTGTTCTGGGTTTTAGATGGCACCAGAATGTTTCATTTGCTTTAACTGCTTGCTTCTAGGGTTTGAAGTCAGGGATCCATTCTGTGACATTTTCCACGGGACTCATAAGGGATCTTACTGAGGGAAAATGTATGGGACTGTATTAGAAATGTTTTCTTTCTATAAGTTCTCTCACCATAATGTCACAGCACTTATCCAAGCCTCACTTTGCTTATTTGAAAACTAGGATAAAACTCCTGAATCAGTTACTGAAGGGCTAAATGAGATTATGGTGCATGTGAAAACACCATGCTCTGGTGTAACAGAAAAAAGAATGCTTAATATATTAAAATGCTATTTATTATTTAAAAAATATTTTATTTTTGATTTTAGAGAGAAGGGAAGGGAGGGAGAAAGAGAGGGCGAGAAACATCAATGTGAGAGAGAAACACGGATTGGTTGTCTCCGACATACACTCCAAGGGGACGGAACTTGCAACCCAGGCATGTTCCCTGGGAATCAAACTCGATGCCCAACCAACTGAGCCACGCCGGCCAGGGCTTAAAATATTTTTTTTTAAATGTAGACTTTCATTTTTTAAAAGGGAAAATGAGGTGGGACAATAATTACAGGCCATAGAAAAGGCCATTTATTGCCCCTCTCCGTTCCCGCACTGTAGTAAGTACTGAGCAAGGAGGCCTGAAGCTGGGCAGGTCAGGTGGGTTTAGGGTTTAGAGAAGAGCAGGAGCTGCATCTACATTCTGTGAACACCAAGTCAAAACATGTAGTAAGTAGTTTAAGAAATGGCTTTGGGGATGCATTTTAAAGGATAGAGTGCTTCCCACATGACTCTCCTGGCCTTGTCCGCCACCAGTCTCCTAAGGTCCCCAGCTGTCTGGTTGGCTGAAGAAATTGCCCATACCTTTGATCTAAAAAAACAAAGAGCCTAGACCAGCACTGGCCAATACGGATGCCACATGAGGCTCCTGAGTACCTGAAATGTGGCTAGGCACAGACAAGTACTGCAAAATACAACCAGACAGTGAAAACAATATGAATAAAAGAATGTAAAACACCTCATTGCCATTTTAAAAATATGCCAATGATAAGCTTTCAGATAGAGTGGGTTAAAGGAAATATTAAAGTTAATTTCACCTGTTTCTTCTTATAAAGTGGCTACCAAAAATGTAGAATTTCATATGCGGCTCGCATTATATTTCCATTGGCTAATTCAGGGATTAACTCTGCAACTGTGCCTTCAGTGTCTACTGTTGGCCGTGGCAGGTGTCTGGAAGCCTGACTCCCGCCCACTCAGAGGGCAGGCTCATACTCGTGGGAAAAAGCACGACCACGCGGGAAGCACACATGACGTCACGTCTCCTCTCGCTTGTCCCTGCCATCTCCACTGCACCTTACCACGTGGACCCAACCCCTTCTCATCTACCCAGCCCCAGAGCACGTGGAAAAACACTTTCGGGGTTTGGGGTTTAGATTTGCGCTGCCCTTTGTAACGGGAAACCTTAGCCCTTGAGAAGGGGCTTGACCTCCAGGCAGGAAGTGCTGTGCCCAGAGGCGACCCGGGTGTGGAGTTCCACGCCTACGCCAGAGAGACAGAGGTTCCAGGCCTGGTGGTGTGCAGGTCACGTGGCGTACGGGTCACTTCCGGGGCAGGTCAGTAGAGGCCGGTAAGGTGGGGTCACAGAGATAAGCCAG